CATAAATAGTATCACTATGATCCATGGAGTAACAATACTGCTTTGTAAGTTTGTGAAGAAATCGGAACCATAACGGCATTGCATCGTTTCAAATTAGGGCATTATTTACTTCTATTTGATCTCAGTCTTATAATAGTAATAGTAATAATAATAATAATAATAATAATAATAATAATAATGATAATAATAATAATAATAATAATAATAATAATAATAATAATAATAATAATAATAATAATAATAATAATAAAAAAAAATAATACTAATACAAATAATAATGCTAATACTAATAGGTTCCTTTTATCTCGCATTTCAAGACAGGGTAAATTCACACTGCGCTTTACATGAAACAAACTTCTTTAAACATTTCAAACTTATATCTTCATGCATCAATCAACATACTTTAAATGAATACAAAACAAAGTGCATCTTAAATAAAACAAAAATAAATAAATAGTTAACAATACAGAAAAAATGTAGCTGCTGTAAGCTTAACAACAAACTAATGTATACCAGTCAGTCCTGATATCAGTATTAGTGTAACAATAGTCATATAGTGGGAGCATGAAGTTGAACAATTCATGATTATACATAATTATATATGTTTGTTTGAATAATACTTGTTATAAAGATAGTAGTATGGTACTCTCTGTCACGAATTATTATGTATACTGTTGTATCCCATTCATTTTCTATTCTGTTTTAGAATTGGCTTTCACCGTGTGAATGCGGCTAACAATAAACACAATTACAATAATGATGAGGATTATTATTATCATCATCATAATTATTATTATTATTATTAATATTATAATTGTTATCATTATTATTATTACTATTATTATCATCATTATGACTTATTAAGTAAGCAAATATCATTCCCCAAAACCTGGGGGGGGGGGGGGAATGATTGTACATGCCATCCCCCCACCTTGTGAGGTGGGGGATGCATCCCCCTCATCCCCCCCCCCCCCCCCCCCCCGTTGTCTACGCCCCTGTTTTCTTCACTTTCCGAGAAGGTCTCTAGATTTATTAAAAATACAATTTTTAAGATAAAAATAGTTATTTAAGAACTTCAAAACAGTTGGATAGAAGTATGGACTGATTATGCCGAAGGGATGCGGCTTGAGCGCAGACAATTGATAAAAGCGAAATACACCCCCCCCCCCCCTCCCACACACATACACACACACATTCCCCTCCATCCCCCTTCCCCTACCGATTGTGGGATGGTGTTTCTCGAATTAGTTTTGTATTTAAGCCTTGTGATTGAATATGAATGATAAAAATGAAAACTAAAATGACAAAAATAGGATGTTTTAGTAACTCGTGCATCTTAGATTTCTTATAAAGAGTTTCTTTGAAGAATAAGGCATGGGGAAGATATTTAATTGAGACAATCATTTATACTCTATCAAAATGAACTTAGGAACCTAAATTTCCTTGGATTGCAATGGAAATGTGTACCATAATGCTTCAAAGAAAAAAAAACTATTAGAGAATGCAAAATTCCGTCCCGTCGCACGCTCCAGTGGTGGTGATGGTAATAACAGCGGCTGCCTGACATTCATTCGGGAGCTAGCGTGCATTTCAATATAGCCTAAACGGTAAAACTCTTCAATCTCAGGTGCCGTCGTATATTTTCTACGACTTTAGGAAGACACGATCGGTATTACATTCAATTGGGAAAGACTTATGCTCACTGCTAAGTTCTGTAGTAAATAGAGAATTTCGCTAGGGATAAATTGTATTTCGACCTCTTTACCCTTTGTCAAATACCATTGTAGCAGCTTACAGCCGTGTGGACTTGATAATTCCCCGCTTACATTACAAAATCTGCAGTAAGGGGTAACTGTACTTTACTATCTATGAATCCATCATGAAAGGAAAATATGTACATTGTTTGAAAATAGTGCAAAACATCTTTCAAGTCTATTGCAGATCAATTGATTTGTTTGCATGATTTGATTTGCTTTGAAGCACAGTTCTGTGATTATAACCCATACTATGCCGTTAAAGCACTGGTGTACAGATACTGCAAGTAAATCCCGTACATTATTCTGCCTGGTATTCATAGGGTTAAATTCTTTTGGGATTCTCCTGTTGAGTATGTGGCGCCTGTTTTTGGCATCGCTTCAAATACTTGGAGGGCGTAGCGTGTGTACACTCCATGAATTACATCCTCGCTGTTAGTCAGTTTGTGATAAAATAGAATTCACGAAGTGAAAAGGGCTTCACGGCTGATCTCTCTACAAATAGTCATAGAATTAAACTCTATCAATTCGAGAAAAAAATGTCGTTATAAGTGGAATGAAACTCGGAGAGAGATATGAATCAAGAAATGGTGGTTTTACACTCTATATGCTTAATTAAAGGCATAGATATACCATTAGAAATAAGAACATTTGAGCGATAAAAAGCTGCACTTGAAGAAGACACACAAAAAATGTTTTTCATCCAACCTGACCCCGTTAAAAAATTAGAAGCAGTGGAACAGGTTATGGTTAGTATACATGGTTATGACAGTAACCAAGATAAAGATATTACAATATGTGTGTGTATATGGGGGTGTGCGTGTGTATGTGTGCGTGTGTTTGACAGGGGGTCTATGTTTCCGTTGATATATATTTCATCTAATATTTTTTGTATCACTTTCCGAGAAGGTCTCTAGATTTATTAAAAACACCATTTTAAAGATAAAATAGTTATTTAAGAACCTCAAAACAGTTGGATAGACTGAAGTATATGGACTGATTACGACAAAGGGATACGGCGTGGATGCAAACATGAAAAAGCCAAATACGCCCCCCCCCCCACATTCCCCTCCCTCCCCAGTCCCCCTGCCGATTGTGGGATGGTGTTTCTCGAATTAGTTTTGTATTTAAGCCTTGTGATTGAATATGAATGATAAAAATGAAAACTAAAATGACAAAAATAGGATGTTTTAGTAACTCGTGCATCTTAGATTTATTTCAAAGAGTTTCTTGGAGGAATAAAGCATGAGGAAGACTTTAATTTAATTTAATTGGGTGATTTATATTCTATCAAAATAAACTTAGGAACCCAAATTACCTTTGATTGCAATGGAAATGTGTACCATAATGCTTCAAAGAAAATAAACTATTAGAGACTGCACCACGTGGTGGTGATGGGGGTAACGGCGACTGCCTGACATGCATTTGGGAGCTATAGCGTGCTTTTCAATACAAAATGCTAGTAGTTGAAAATAATTGGGGTGATCTGCATATTATTTTCAATTTAATTGTCAAAATATGGGCCGGCGGGGTCAGCTATACATCCCAAACCAGCGCTAATGGAGCCTGAAAATATGGCTGGTTTGGTGTCCGAAAAATGTAAATATATAAATAAATTATTAAAAATTAATAATTAATGGCCCCCGTCGCGACGAAACAGATACATGCAGCCAAGGTTATAGACTCCGTAACTCGAGTATAAACGATGAATCAGGCATCTCTCGAAAGGAGTTGTCCACGTGAATGTATTTTACAGTTCTGTGGAGAATATCCATTGTTGTTGTTGTTGTTGTTTTAGTTTTATTGGTAGCGGTGGTTATTTTACCTGACAGCTAAAAAAAGCAATAAATGCTTGTTAGTAAGCAACCATAAAACCGACGCACAGTGGGCCAGGGAGGAACCAAAGTGCGCCAAAACTAATTTTGGGGGGATTTATCTTTTATAAATCCAGAGGAAATGTTTGGATTTCCAGGGATTTCCGCTTAAATTGTATTACCAACATTTTCTCTGATGTCTAAGCTTTAAGTTGATACCAGATTTGGCTGCCCGATTCTGCCCGATTCTGCCCGTTATTATGTTAGAGCCGTTTTCCTTGCAACATTGCACCGAAAAATATGTTTATTTTGGTCCGCAGTGTCAGAACGTGTGCCACGCGCCCCCACGCGCCGTGATTTATGACCGCGAATCTTTCATGATTTAGCCGCGGACCTAAAAAAAAAAAAAATCGGGGCATTGTGGCAAGGGAAATCGCCTCTAACATAACAACGGGCAAGATCGGGCAGCCAAATTTGGTATCAACTTAAGCTTAGACATCCGAGAAAATGGTGGTATTACAATTGAAGCGGAGTTCTGAGGAGATCGAAACATTTTCTTTGCATTTATAAAAAAACATGGATAATTAGTCCATTTTTCAGTGAATTACCCTATAGTATATCATGAAGATTGTGTTTCTATCAATTTTAACCCATTCATGCAACGAAATGAACTATCAGGAATATGTGAGAGCAATTTCATATCGATAACTTAAAAACTACATGACAGATTTATAAAATAAGTCACTTTTGCACTAAAACTGTGATTTTGCTGTTTCAAGGAGTAAATTTATACCCTTATTGTGCATACCGGAATTAAATATTTTACTGAGGTATTCCTCAATGTGTTACCTTTCAACTGGGCAAGACAAAAGTTGGAGAAAAAAAAAATCACCAAAAATGAGTTTTGGCGCACTTTGGTTCGTCCCTGGCCCACTGTGCGACGACTTAAGGTCCTCTCCGAGGGACCTGGTAATGAGGATTAATGCCTTACCAAAGGGCACTAGAGCATCTACTTGGATTCGAACCCCGGTCCCTCCACTCAGTGTTATTTAGGGTACGCATATTATATGCATGTTCCCTCCTTTTGAAAACACCCCCTAAGTCCGGTGTGTAAAGTCTTTTTTGTGTGTTTATGTACGCGCCGGACTTTTGTGCGTGAAAAGTACCCCTTTACCCGACATTTTGGTAACACGCATATGGTATCCCTCTGTTCAGTGTGTGTGTGTGTGTGGGGGGGGGGGGGGGGGGGGGGGGGCTTCGAACCCGGGTCACCGGATAACGAGACCACTGCTGTATACCGACTGAGCTATCGCGCCTCCTTTTATTGGCGTACTGACATCGTAACCTACCTTCAGTCAAAGAAAACATTATTTTGCCCCCAAAGTACTTAAGAAAACATTAACTGCTTTTCAAATTCGACACTAAAAGGCAAATTAGATAAGAAGGTAAAGTTTGGATTCGAAAGAAAAATAAAATAAAAAACGCCTTGAACAAAGCTAGCCATAACAGGGGCTAAAATTATCGTTCTTTGTTCATTCATGACTTCGTGTAAAACATTCTAAAATTTCATAGAAGAATGTGATTTTCTCTGGCCGAATCTGTCGTCATATATTCTTCCATAACTGCACTATATTTCAAAGTACAATTGAGGCGTTGAATTATCGACACTAAACGCTTACTATGGGTGCAAATCAAAGCGAACAGCAAGTTTCGAGGTATGATGCCCCTATCGAGTCGACGACTGGTCCGACGCCTGCAGCTGCGGCAGCGGAAGGAGGCAGCATACCGTATACGTTCTACTCTGTAGACAGGAATGCAGCTCCTGCTCCGAAAGGTGAAACCAGAATTCACATTCAATAATTACAACAATATTTCAATTTTCTGATATTATATGACTCCACCTCTTATATGTGTTGCCTTGCTGATTGGTTCGACATAATAAGGCAAGTTAAAATAAGGTCAAGGTCAATAGTCTACAAAGTTCTCTAGAGTCTAGGGCGTAAAATACTAAAAATAGTAAATAAAACGTGCAGAAATCTAGTTGATGCATTACAAACTCACTGATATCAATCCACTGACTGGGAGGTCATGTCATTTTTTGTTGATTCACACACAACCTTTGTATATTTACAAACGTTGCTGCGTGTAGAAATTACAAACTGAAATTAACACGGCAAGTGATGTCGTCAATGTAATGACGTGATGAGAGGGAAATTGAGGATTTTTGTATCAACCAAGTAACAAGTCAATATGTTGTGAATGATGAAAACAAATTATGGAAATAGAGATAGCTTATATGTTTTACCCTTATGCTTATTTCATTGCTGTTATGCGGGTCGCATTTCATTTATGAGCCATTTTTGTAATTACATCAGAAGAGCTCATTACTGTAGTCTGTACACCCAAGCCGGACGAGGGTGGCCTGTACATATATCAAAAAAGAAGAAGAAGAAGGCACTATACTTAGACTAGTTTGTTCTCCCTTTTTTTGTTTGTACGAAACAATCAATGATATACTCCATGTTCTTGTTTCCTGTAATAAATCCTTGCTCAAAAATTGCCTTTTTAGATAATAGAGTGCAGGCCTTAGCCAAGCAGCAGCAGGGAAGGTCCACACCCACAAAGGGCTCGCCCCAGAGAAGTCCTAAGGTGGGGTCAGCGGATCACAAGATTGTGACGGTGTCGGCGGGGACTCAGGGAGCCGACCAGTCGCTGTCTTTTGAGATTCAGAAGATGAGAGACATCCCGACGTTCATGCCCATTCTGAAAGGCACCCATAGCGTCCCCCAGGTGGAGGATCCCAACCAGATGGAGAAAATGGATCACAGGTGATGATGATGATGAGGGTGGGGATGGTGATGGGGATGATGATGGTGATGGTAGTGGGGATGATGATGATGGTGGGGATGATGATGATGATGATGGTGGTGGGGACGATGATGATGAGGAGGAGGATGATAGTGGTGATGATGGTGTTGACAGTGATGGTGATGATGATGGTGATATTTGTAGATAAAAGTGAAGGAGATGTGAGCAGTGATGATGATGATGATAATGATGATGGAGACGATAGTGATGGTGATGATGATGGTGATATTTGTAGATAAAAGAGAAAGAGATGTTAAAGATGATGATGATGGTGAGTATGATAATGATGATGGTGATGATGATGATTAGTTAATGAAATCTTTATTGATAGAATTGCAAAATGACAAACAAAATATTATTTCTGTGTTTCTTGTTTCAGCATGCCACGTGCCCCTTTAAGTATAGTTAAATTCTTTTCTCCATGTTTCCTGAATATTTGTAGACAGTTGCTCCTGCTGTGTTTGCGATACCAGCATCATCTCCGGCAATGCTCCGAGGCAGTGACCTTTGACCAGAATGCTCTGACAGGGAGAATCAAAGAGGTAAGATATTCTTGTAAAATAAATGTTGCTTACTTATTTCTAAGCAGGTCACGTGACCAATCATCCTAAACTGACCTAATTTGCATAATTTGCCCTTAAATATGGCAACCCTTTACAGAATCTTACCGGTATACCTATTTTACCTTTTAGAACTAATACTTGTCCAGCATTGTTTAAACTGGCTCATAAGTCAATTACGTTTGTTTATACATTTCAAATCATCTTTATCTAAGATATGCAAATTTGACTTGGCTTCAAACTTTTCACTTTCTGTGAATGTACATGGCTAAGTCAATGCATAACTCGCCAAACAAACACACGCTACAATTCATTACGGACCATACTTTTCGTGCCCAACATATTCAAATACAAGAAACTATCATTAAATGCCATTGCCATACATATGAAAGTAAAACATCAAATTTCACTAATAACTAGTAATTGTACACTTACAACATTGGGTTTATTGAAGAACAACAAAATTAGCAGTGATTCTCAGGAGGATCATGTCTGTGCATACTAACACACATGTTACTGCAGCAAAGCTTACAGCTCCCGCTAGCTCCAAACTGAAAATATCTCCAAGTAGCTTCTCGCTTCTGACGTCATGATCATCTGATATCGTACACTAGTAAAGACAATTTACAAAGGGTTCTTGTAAAGTGCTGATGTCTGTCAGATTTGACAGACACTCCTGAGGCTCCATAATTATTACCCTGGGTTTAGCATTGCTGCTATTACGGAGCTCTAGTATTTCAAGGTATGAATTCCTGCCAGGTACCCATATACCTAACTTAGGTCGAGTGTGGCAAATGTACTATTGTACGTTGCCAAAGGACATTAGTCCCCCGGCGGGACTTGAACCGTGGACCATATGATCCATAGTCCAATGACTTATCCATTATAGACCACGACACCTCCATAAGGCATGGTATTATTAATGTTATTTTGTTTTACTTTTATTAGGTGGATGCCATCATACACAGTATAATGCAATCCATGGCTGAGCGGCAGAAGCGATTCGCCAAGCATGCCGAACAAATACAGAAGATCAACGAAATGTCAGGAACTCTGAAACGTGTTCAGATGAGTGTAGATCAGCTAATCCCACTCATGGACCGTCTGAACAGCGTCTTGCCAGATGCAGAAAGACTGGAGCCTTTTACGATGCGCCCATCAGGGCCTAGGACCTGACTCTCCATTTTGACAAAGTGTTAAAGGGAATGTGTCATGACGAGACTATGTGTCTTTCCCATGGCCCTACCCGGGGCCAATCGGGTATAATACGACTATGGACGACGCAATCGCAGCATTCATGTGCGTGCAACATACGCGAACTGAAGTGTGAGGAGAACTTTGGTCTGTTTCGCGAATGCTAGCGTGCTGACCCAGTTAATCAAGTCCATTCGTTTACGTGCAGTTGTCCAAAAGAAGACGTACATGTAGATGGCGTCAACCAGTAATTCCCATGCTACACTCCTTGTCATGCTGAATGGTGAAACATCGTGGACCTGTAAGAGTATTACATACTAAGCTAGAAGGAACCTCAACCTGGGCGTACTTTAAAAGGAAAAGGTAGTCAGGTTTCCAAGTGCATGAGGTCATAATTCACTAACACCAGACTTGGTTGAAATACCATTGATGGGTTTAGAAGTTTTGCACACAGCAAACCCCTTGTCCCATCAAGAAGTACCTCTCAGTCCGTCGGAGAGTCTTAGGGTGAGGGAAATGTAAGAAAATGACTTTTCCATATGATTGGCAAAATCTGTTATGGGGTAAACACCCGAATGGTGTTGAATTCCCCATGAGAGCCCACTGCTTTGCGTCTTTAAGTCTACACGTTGATGAAAATGTACATGTACATGTATGTTACACTGTATACTCGCCACTCAGAGCTTTAATGCAGATTATTAACTGTATCAGACATCTGAGCAGGGCAATTTGTAAATGTTATTGCCTTCAAGGTTTAATTAATAAGCCAACAAAACTACAGGCGATAAAAAATATTATTGACTGCTCAGAAAAGTTAATGGGATTTTGTGTATAATTTGCCGGTCAATAATATTATACAGTAAACCCATGAACAAATATTATTGCCCGATCTCAAAAGTCAAGGGATTTTGTGTGTAATTTGCCGGTCAATAAAATTATACAGTAAACCAATGAACAAATATTATTATGTATTATATGTATTATAGATGTATGTGATACCTGGTGGTGTCGCTTCATATTCAAAGGGTTAATGCACGATCGTTATTTGCCGACATTCAAGAACATTGTCCTCAAAATGTGAACTCTTTTTGCTTAAAATGGGCTCTAAATAGAAGTTTTAATTTACTTTTGTGCAATACTCAAAGGGAAAATGTTTGTTATTCATTTATATTTGTATCCTATGTTAATTCAGCTTTCCACTGATATAAATATATATTTTTATCGGAAAGGGTCTTTAACTGATATATGTTTTCTTTTTGCCATGTTAGTATTTTGAGTGTGTGAAGATCGCACCGGATGGGGAGAGACTTGTGTCCTGTAAAAATATCCAATACATGTAGTTCTATCTGGCAATTTTTTTCAAGGATGAAAGGTGGACCGGTTAAAATAACTAGGGCATTTATTAATAATAATAATAATAATTATCTTTGCTTATATAGCGCCTATCACTTACTTTATCAGAAGTCTCTAAGCGCTCTACAATAATGCAGCATAATTACCCTGGCTTTAGCAGGGCAGCTGTTACGCGCGCTGCATTTCAAGGAATAAATTCCTACCAGGTACCCATTAACTTCACCTGGGTGGAGTTTGGCAAATGTAGATCAATGTCTTGCCAAAGGACATTAGTGCGGCGGCGGAACTCGAACCGCGGACCTTGTGATCGACAGTCCGGCGACGTATCCACTTGACCACAACACCTCTAGAAAACACCTTTTGAATACCTTCAGATGTAAGCTTCGATAAGTCACATTCTCAAGAAACATCAATCAGGACAAGTCAATTTTTCACATACCCGTACTTAACAAATTACAAAACTTGGTAAGAGTATGAATAATTTAATTGTTAATTGTACATTACTAGATATTATACTTCCTGTACTGTATATAGTGCATATAAAAGAAACATGTACCCAACTTTGGTAGCTTCTAATTAAGGAGTTTTTGGTATAACCTTTGTGACCTTAAAGATAAAGTTGAGTTCTGGTCATGCGATTGCATTGTGAAAGAAACGGTGTGGAAATGATCAGAAAAGGTTGATAATGTAGCATATAAGTATTGGTGCGAAATGATAAGAAATTTGGCCCAGTCTTGGTAAAATTACAAGCACTGATGTACACAGAAATATGTATATGGGACTACACGAACATGTGGCATAAAAATTTGTCCCAATTTTTATGCTGTTACATGCCATATTTTTAATATTAAGGCATTTGAAGAGCCATGCATTTCAGGGAACATTTTTATCTGATGTTCTTCCACACTTGCATAATAACAATAATAATGCTCACAAATGATTTATCACCTCCTCTGAATATGCATGTGACACCTGTTTTTTACATAATATCAGTGAAGGGATGTTCCTTTGTCTACCACAGCAATTGTTGAGGGTACATGAGGAACTGTATATTTTGTTATCTTTCTTTGTCCGTGATGTTCATAGTGGAATGTGGATCAAAAGCTTTTAAGTGTGTGTTATCTCATTCCAAAAACAATTGCTCATTAATTACTTACATTGAATTATAAATATTAATCAATTGGAAAAAAAATGGTGTTAATATCAACACAAAATCTATGAACATTTATAATATTCTCTTCATCAGGGATGCATCATAAAACAAACTCACTGTAATTATTTCTTAAAGCGGGACTGCACGACTTGTAGCTTCTTGAACCCTCTATATAGCCAACAATGCCTACGCGATACCTGTTGATCCCCATGGCCCCCTTTTTCTTATGTTAATTGAGAGCTGATTTGATGAGATAACCACCTGCAAGTGACCATGCAGGGAGGTCTAATCCCCCTGGCTAAACTAGTGCAGCAAGGCTTTAAAGGGAAATGCAACTCGCATGTTATTTCCAAACCTCAAAATACTGCTATGGAGTACACTCCCACTCCCTCCTCATCTAAGAATGTGACTTTTATTATACGTGTAATTATATTCCAGTGGCTATAATGTAGTAAGGCTTGTCAGTGTATAGAACTTTTGTACTGTTCTGAAAATTCAGCCATGCAAGATTTAGACTAATGCATGTATTTATGTCATGGTGATGCTTTGTATAAAGTTGTAAAGTGAGACTGAGTATTGAAAAATATATACCGGTATGTATGTAAAATTTGTCATGGTATTTATTGTGATGAGAAATAAATTATATTGTAATATGAACTAAATATAGATTTGTTTTTTATTCTGTATAATAGTTATTCCCCTGTGGTTTTAAGTTATTGCCGGATTTCCGCTTGCATGATAAACGATACGAAAACAAATATAAGTTAAAAATCATGCGTCCGGTAAAAAAAATTTGCTGGACGCATGATTTTGCCATGCATCCGGTAAATCTGTAAAATAACAAAATTTTAACATCTTATAAAACAGATGATGCACAGGTTTAATTCGTGGGTCAGTGGAATTGTGTACACGCGGTACCTTTGAATTTGGTCTAAAACTATACAAAGGTACCTTGTGCACACAATCCCTACGGACGCACTCAAACCTGTGCGTCATTTGTATACAGTTATCCACATTGGTCTATTTTTCCAAATTAGAAATTGATAATGCCACAATGAGTCGATTGATTGCCATTGATCCTTGTATCCAGGTTAACAACTGACGGACAACTTTTCATATCATTTGTCCTTCTTACACCTCTGTTAATAGGTGTATTTGAGCTAGGAGATATTTATAAATTCCCTATCAGGGATTTGCAAGCCCTCAGAAAGTTATCTTGAAATTTATCTGTAGCAGCAAGTGAGTTAATGAAAGTATGTGCAAAATTTCTGATCTAGAGACTCTGGATTTATCTTGATGATTGAAGAATAAAGCCTCATATGCAAATTTCAAAATTTGAAAAGACAAATGACCGTAATTTTGCTAATAATGATTTTTTGACACCATACTTTTAGAGAGTTTTCAATTACCGGTATGATTTTAAAAAAAAACTTTTTGGCTCTTTTATTTTTGAAATGTTTCCACATGCAAATCCCAGCATGTACCCCTTTTCACTTTCAGAGTGTTTTCTTATGTTTTCCTTTTTCTGTACATGTTTTTTCTTTTGCTTTGTTTTTATTTTTGTATTATGTTTTTGTGTTTTGTTTTGCTTCATTGTAGCAGTCCATAGCGGATGGTCAAGAATTAGAATGAGAGGAGGGGGTTGTGAGAGGGGAAAGAGGGTTTTATTTGGGGTTTGGGTAGAGAGAGAGAGAGAGAGAAAGAGAGAGAGATATATAAGAGACGGACAGACAGACAGAGACATTGGGAGAAAGGGATCGAGATGGAGAGGGAAGGGCAGAGAGACGACTGCATATGGTGGAAAGCAACTCCAGGGAGCTCATATGTATGTACAGCCTATAATACTCTTTTAAGAATGTACATCTTGTATCATTTAGCTTGCATTGTGATGGTTCTATTTTTGTTTCCAGTTCGTGCACCGGTCAATGTGTTTGGGTTCTAGTCCATTACGCCGTCCCAGTTAAATGATTATTATTCCATTGTTATTTGGCGTTTCTACCACACCATACTTGTGATTCGTCACACCGAAAGGAAACGATGGTCGGAAGTTTCATTCAGCATAGTGGAGTCAACGCAATACGCTGAGGAATTTATTTCTTAGGAACAGATACGGAAAAGGTCTGAAATGGCGAATGGAGAAGGAACAAGTTCTGCTCCAGCTACCAGCGCAGCACCTAGAAGAGGTATAATATGGCTGTTTATTTTCTCTATTTAAATCTGCAGTTTTTAATGGCCATGGCCGCTTGTTGCAATTGTAATTGTGACGCCTCACTCTATGACTTAACTCCGGGAAGCTCCAACACCGGCGCGCAGCGTTGGAGCTTCCCGGTGTTGGAGCTTCCTGGAGTTATCTATGACTATGCATGTCTGCTCAGCGGTTGCTCATGAACGATCCCCGCTTACGCGCCGGGGTGACAATCGTAGCAACTAGCATCGTGGTACTGAGTATCATCATTCTTCTTCTTCTTCTTTGGGTTAAGTCTACCTCCTTCACAGTTGAAGATTCTTGTAGACTGATGAGTGTGTGTGTGCTTACGAGACCAAGGTGCATGGTGCAATGCTATTTACATGGTGCAAGTAAAAAGTTCCCGGACGTAGTTGCTGCCTCCCGTCAGGCATTGACGGATGAGGCACATACTGTTTCTGATGGCAGGTTGTTCCAACTCCTCACACTCACAGTCCTTAATGATGACCGTCCGTAGATTTAGAGCGAAGTTTAGAATATCAACATGACTGTGTGTGTATTGAGTTTTTATAGACGTGTATCAATCAGATATGATTATTTACGTCTGGGGGCCGTTTCTCAAAACCGTCATAAAAGACATAACTACAAGATCAACGACATCTCGCCACTGTCGCGCAACTTGTCAGCTACATGTAAGTGTTTCACGAAGCCGTCTTTGCCAAGATGAGCGACAACCTCCACGACAAGCGAGTTGTCACTGCTCCGAACCTGTCATATATTTTTAATTGCTGTAAAGCGCCATCACAAGTCAGTTTGTTGCCATTCCATGGGCCGTGAAATGGACAATTAGTTTCACTATCATTTTGAGAAAAATATAGATGAGTTCGGTACGTAATTTTCTGGGATGCGAAATGAAAATGTACAAAAGTGAGAATACAAATTATACAGGAACTTTAAAAAGCTGAATATAAACATTAAATCACAAATCATTAAACTTTAACATATAAATAAGAGAGGTAAGAATGTTACACACCGTTTTCCATAGTCGATCCATAGTCTCTTTCTAGGATACCGTCATACCTTTGGGGCCTATGTGCATTATTATTCCCTCTCTAATTACTTCTTCCAAATTATATTTTCAATATCAAATCAATTATATAACGAGTATTTATGAGACTCTAGAATAAAAACTGGCTGAGAAAAGACATTTTGCCTAAAATTCCTCGTCACAATAAACAAAAAAGTATGTATTGAGAAACTATCACATTACGGTATCCTTCAACTTTTGATTCGACTGTCAAAAAAAAAACACTCACCGGTTTTTCTTCAATTTAAGAATCTTTACAGAAATATGCAAATCATTTGATGATGTAAATATGATTTCTTTTTGAACAAGTTTAGCCCCAAAACTTGTTTTGGGTTATTCTTCATAAATCAAATGGATCGTGACAAAGACTATCTTCTTGAGCTGCTAGTATCGCGATATATCGATATCATGTCTGTCATGGCTTTGTGAAACGGTTTATCCACTTCATGACATCTCCGTAGGTTGGCGACAAAGAAATGACTGTCATGGAGTTGGTTTCGAGAAACGGCCTCCTGGCGACCGACCTTTAAACGTCACCATCCAAAAGACTTGACTCAGTTTCGAACCTGCGTCCTCGGATCAGTTTGTAACTTCAATTGTTAGCTGGATCTGCAGGCGCACGCCACAACGCCTACAGTACACAACTGCAATATGAGTGTGTATTCTCTGGACCCCTATTATATAGCAAGCGCCCAAAATTCTATTATATACTTGGGCCAAGCAAGGCTAGACTACACCTCTGCCTGTTTCAAAATGCAATATCGCAAGATGGAAATAATGTTGAAGAAATCCCTGTTGTTGTCATTGACATTGCATTGTTGTCACTTGTCTGTTGAATTTTATTTTTTATTATTTTTTTGTCCCCTCGAACAACCAATACCAATGGTTGTTGCTGTACACTCGGCCAATACAAAAATGGCCCCCAAAATCAAATACAGTATTGGGTGTTAATTGATAGAAGTTCAATTGACTATAATGAGTATGACTATGTACAGGCTAGTCAGGCTTATCTTGCAATGACTAATGACAAATTCCTTCTTTTCTTCACTTGCAGGGAAAACGATAGCTGTTGTATCCTTTACAGAACTGTATTTACTTGTAGTTGGTTTAGTATGCTATTAAGATTTTGCTGAATGTTACACTAAATATATATGGAAGAGCTTACTTACGTGATCTGGCTTTGCAAAAAGAAAGGTTACTGATTGAGAAAGCTATTAACCAGTTAGCTACAAACTGCAAACATATTCCCAGAAGAGGAATGGGGACCTTGTAGGATGACAAAAGCCTTTTTGATACAGTAGTACATGTAATTGCCATATGCCCTAACAGTGATCATAATGGAAGGACTACTCCCCAGGGAGTGGGGATGGTGCACACTCTGTGCATGTAAATGAATCCGATGACTGGGGGAATAATGATATCTGCAAAACGCTTACATATGTTTTTTCTGAAGTAAGCATTTATTACACTCTGAACTATTTATAATTCATGTGTAGTAAACAGAAAGAAGGAAAATGGCAAGATTTGTAGGATGTTCTTACATGTACACTAACTTTTTTTCTACATAGAGATGATATCCTTAGCTTTCCAACTCTCAGCTCTCATCTCTTCCTCTACAAATACTCTTCTATTTGAATGGATGGTATTTTGCCTTTCTCTGGCTGTGTGAAGCATTGATGTACATTTACAAAGGTAAGTCTGACCAGGGACCCGTTTCACAAAGCTTTTTTTCAATGACAAATGACAAAAATCAGCAACAAATCTGCTGATAACAAACCAGAAGCAAGGATTCACTAGCTTACATGTATATACGGTGCGTCCCAGAAAAAAAGAAACTGAGAATTATCAATTTTTTATCATAACTTGATCTTAATTATAATTAATAAATGACACATATTTGTAAAGCTTAAACCCTCCTCTTTCATTTGATGCAACTCATATGATGCATATTTCATGGATGAGTGATTAAAAACGATTTGAAAAAAGGGTACCAAAAAGTCATTTGGCCGACGGTATCTGAAAAAAGTTCATTTTCTGCCCTTTCATATCACACATTAATCAGGAAAAAATAAGCCAGGAATAACAAAGTTCTGCATGTTTAAAGTAGTGCTTGCATTTCTATAGTTTTATTAAACAATTTTTTTTTCAGTGGCTGACTGCCGTAGCAACAAACAACAAACTCTGTTTTGTTGACGATCAGCCATGCATGCAGTCTTTTGTCTTCTTTGTTGAAAAGTGATAAATATGTTTAGACCTTTATATGAAACTTGTTATTATTTTTTGTCTTTCTAATTAGCATCAATAATGGACTTTGATGAAAATCTTATTGAAGAAATCTACTTTTAAACCTTGTTTTAACCTGGCCTCATTTGGTTTTCATTTTTTTCCAGGTTCAGTACTTCCATACCCCACAGAGAATCTGGCTGGAGAATGGGTCCTTATCTTCCTCTTAGTTGCCATTGAGTATGTCAGGTTGTTCTTAGGTAAGAAAGGATACCAGTCTTTCTGCCTCTAAGGTACATTGTATTTCCATGTAGTTTAACGTCTAAAATAAAAGACAAAAGGCAAATATATTTTTATTGCAGGTGAGATTTTGTTCTTTGTTTCTAGCACAACAAAATGATAAGGAGTACCAGGGAAAAAATTAATATTTCTTTTTCGGAGGCTACTTTTGAAACTTGCCTGCATGACATCCTAAATTTGTTTTACATTGAACTCTATGCAAATGTACAGGGCTCTTTTCTGTTTTTCGGGAGCTCTTTTGGGCATTTCGGGGGCTATTTTGCCCCGAGCCCCCATGTATTTTTTTCACTGATAAGGACACTAAAAGGGAAGTATTATATGAAGATAAATCTAGATCCATAAAATGCCTGATACAGAATATCTCTCTAAACACATTGCAGTTGACCTGGGCCCATAACACAAAGCTTAGCAATTGATTTAACAATTGTTGTTTATGATTGATCGCATTGGTCACTATTTTTAATCAATCACACAAAATAACCGTACGATCAATTGCAGAGCTTTGTGTTATCGGCCCAGTTCATACATGGAACTGTTATTGTATTGTGTTGAGTCTAATGAACCAAATGCAGGTAACCTGAGATGTTAAATCAGAGGTTTGTGTAATCTTGGAATCAATTCAACAGCTTAATCTAGTTTTCGGTGAAACACGTAAGTTCATAAGTAGAATCGATTGGGCAAGGTCTTTTAGCTTAACCGTTTACCTTTATGGCGGCATCCTACAGAAATACCTTAGAGACAATATCTTATAACAGTTGATGGCACCAGAATAAACTGCTAAGATATACACCGGTACTTGTTTACTCAGAGCAGTTTAGAGTTGTCAAAATTCACTCTGTGTCGCCAATTCAGAGATTGCAATGATTAATTGCATATGAAATCGCTCTAAATACATAAACGGCAAAATGGACTGAAATGTCGCAGCGATTTTTGCACTTTGCGCCCATTTACAATTTGTAGTAGTTTTAGCACTCTGGATCAAAAGATAAAAATAAAAATAGATTAAAAGGAAATGTACTTCATAATTTGTGAAAATTCTTACTTTAGTGAAGAAACATACTGTTTTGGGAAAATATATATATGTCAACGTGAAAACACTAAATTATCAATTCATTATCAGTTACTTTGTTTGTTCTGTAGGGAAGAAAGGAAACCTGACGGAGAAGGTCGTCCATCTTGCCGTATCCTTGGCGTTATCCATGGCAACACTGTTTGGCGCCCTCTATCTCATCTTGTGGCAGACGTACGTGTTACGAGCGGAGTTGATCCTCAATGCTGTGCTTCTATGCTTCCTTGGACTTGAACTGGTATTCAGTATCATTGCTGTAATCTCATTTGGCAGGTAAGTTGCTTTGCACAGAGTATCTTTAACCCCAATTGGAATACCCTCTGTTTGGAGCCAAAAGGGTGCTAACTCATATACTTTAACACAGAGTTAATGCCCTTCCAGCTCTAACCAAATATATTTAAAAGGCCAAGATGAGTTTTGTGTCTGGTCTTATAAGGAGTTGCGATTAATTGCAACTTATTCGCGATTGATATCATATCGTTTGTCACCAACTTTTCCCCCTTTGACAGAAATCAGCTTTCTCTGATTTCTCTTAGTTGCTGTATACAGATTTGATTGAATGCAATGTAAAATTTTTTAAAACTCAAACTCAGATACCTTTTCAAATTCTTGCTACCACAATAGTATTCTACCATACACTGTAGATAGAGGGCAGCACTTTGGGTTCCCATACAAATATAATGGGCCGAGAAATGGAAATCCCAAAGAAATGATAGTTTAGGAACCAATAAACTATCAGTAACAGATTCTCTTCAAATCATGAGAGGAGTTTATAAAACCTGAACAATAATTTAGTAAAATAAGGAATTACGGTAGTGACACTGCTGTACATTCTCTTTGGAAGCCGGGCGGAAGGCACCTTGTCATATTGTCATCCTGTTGTCTGTGCTTGTGCTAACCTGCGCAGTGTGGCGGATGGTCATCATCTACTGACAAACATTGTATTTTCGGTAGAGTAAATTAATGGAACTGGAAAGAAATAGCAGTAAGATGTACATGTACATTTTAAAGAATGATGCAATGTAGTTGATTAGAAAGTAGAAACAAAATACAATTTTGCTAAATAGATTCAATCACCATAGTTTAATTTGTTTATACATATTACAAAGTATTTCCCTTTGATTTAGCTTTTCAAATTGTGTATCTCCTGTTTGTGATACATCATTAACTCTTTGTACTCCACACAAATAATCTTCCTGTGCCACTTTAAATTTATCAAGGGATTTACCAAAGCCATAACAATTATTTAACTATATCCGTGCAACATTAATCTATACAGGTGTTAAAAGATTGTAATGGAGCTCATCAAGACCTGAACTGGGTAATTTTACAAAGTCACTGTGTTGCACAAAACAATCTTTTCATCAAGTGGTGCCTATTGTTTCTGTGCAAAATTGCACGTGTGGCAAATGAGTGACCATGCAGAGAGACGAAGGAAGCAACTGAAGTGTTAAAGATAAGCTTGAGCTCTGGTATTGGCATCGTATGTTGCGAGAACATGGCTATAATTCATTGTGAATTGTATTTCTTGCAGTAGATTGATTGTTTGAACCAGTAAAATAAAAACAACCTCACAAAACTTGCTGGAAATCATCTTCAATAAAAAGCACAACTCTTATTTGCACATAGCTGTAGTGACCTGTGTTAAGCACATGGTGTTGGGCCCTTTTACCTTGATGTCCTTATCTTTGTATGCTCATTACTCAGCCTTTATACATTTTCTACCAAAATCGTTTGGCACGTGTCTTTTATTTATAATCTTGAACATTCAGTATGAGTTTTGATGGATTCTGTGAGAATTTATTTTCTATCATCACCTGGGGGTTGTTTCACAAAGATCCTAAGTTGAACTTATCTCTAAGTTGGACTTAACAATTATGAAAGCCATTAGCATCCTTGAAAATATTTTGTAAAATTTATTTCAAAAGGCATAAAATGTTGATTCAAATCATTCATATTATCTATTACAATGGGAGACTTCATGTTCTTGATGTGGAATTTATGAAAAGTCTAAAATACTTGAATTTTTGCTTTTGAATATAGTTCAAAATAAGGCTACAAATGGCTCTCCATAATAAGTCCAACTTAGAGTTAAGTATGACTTCAAATCTTTGTGAAACACCCTCCTGAACTCAAGCTTATCTTTAATATCATGTTTTATATTTCTTCTCTTTTCAGGGCAAATCAAACGGTAAGATGAGAGGTCCAGACGATACATAACTCCTAGTCATCACTCAGTACTACTCCAGGGGGGCGTTTCACAAAGCCTTTTTTCAATGACAAATGACAAAAACCAGTGACAAATCAGCTGATAACCAATCAGAAGCAAGGATTTCAGTAGCTTATAACACAAACTGTCATTTGTCACTGATGACAAGTTTTGTGAAACGCCCCCCCCCCCCCCCCCCCCAGCAGCGAAGGATGATGTATCTCTACAGATTCAGCCTCGTCTGAAGAAACTGCTCTGAAGGAATGAAAAAAATAGACTCTATTTTGCTGTGATTTTTTTCACCATGTTTCAGTGTAAAATAGTATGCCTGATTCAAAATTTTACTTGATCTATCAGAGAATGTAAGCAGAAAATGAGATTCGTTTGCTTTTGTATTTATTTTTAGTTCGGTCTTGGGCGGGGGGGGGGGGGGGGGGATTTAGATGTGACCTAACCCACTGTCTTCATTATTGGAAACACCTGTATTCACATTTTTCTTTTCCTATTTATAAATCTTTCACCAACTTTAAAAACATGATCATTACCAACAGAAAGTTCACCCTTATGAACTTGTGGAAAAATACATGCTTGAGTTCAATAGAGCAGACTACCGGTACCATTGTCCAAATGTTATAGTCACTTGCTTGAACGTTTGAAATAGAATGTGTCACAAAATTTGTAAGCTTTTTCTTGGGTATGGCCAGCCCAGAAAAACCTATCAATGATTCATTGATAGGCCCTCATCACCTTGATATCATAATGAACGCCTTGAGTAGTGTCAGTAAAGTGGATTAAGGTGTACCAATCATCTGAAAAATTATTGTTTTGTATCATATCACCCTTTGCGACTACCCCAAAAATCTTAAAATCTACAGTCAACTTTTTATTAAGGGGTTTTTTACCAATTTTTTAGAAGAAAAAATGTTTAATGAAAAAAAAAAAAATTGACCGACCGATCCAGGTGATGGCATAAGGGCAAGAACAACGTCTTTAAAAAAAAAAGACCTAATACAAATGAATAAAATATTCCACCTGTATATGCTTGCAGTTGAATGACACATGCATGGAACCCAAGTTAGACTTGGGTTCTTTACGTCAGGTTTTATGGTTTCCTTTATATTCTTCATACTGATAAACGATGAGTCCATTGAAAGACGGGTGAAGTTTTGTTAAAGGATGATGTTATATACCGGTATGTTCTATTTGGGTGGTGTTTCATAAAGAGTTTGTAAAGTTACGCATGACTTTACGAATGACTTGTATATGAAGTGCCAGATAGGATGCCCAAAGTTTTTTCTGATACTTCCAATAACCTCAATTAAATTATGGCAAAAAATATACTTTGCATTAAAAATGGTTGTTATAATAAGAATGTTAATCTACATCTGCACAGTTCAAGTTAATAAATAATTATCAGTAATTTAATATAATAATAATAATAATAATAATAATAATAATAATAGCCTAATAGTCCACTCCAAATTTTATTAAACCGAAACGGAAATTCTTTTTGCCCAATTGATCGTGAGCCCGGCAGCCACTGAGCAGCGCCAGATCGACGTTGCTCTAACCCTTATTGTTGAACGCCAAACACATACATGCCAACTGTTCAGATTAAAGAGGAACATTCCTCTTTTTGGGAGAAGATAATTATCATTTTAATGCAGGTGTTCCTCTTCCTGTACAAATTTGTCTGTAGTATTGAATAGGAGAGTTAGGATTGTTCCTCTTTTTTTTGAAAATAGCATAATTTGTACAGATTTCTGATTTTCAAATGTTGGCATGTATGCAAACAAGGTAGCAACAACTCCCATCTTTTTACGTCTATTGGTATGACGCGGCCGGGGTTCGAACCCACGACCTCCCGGTTGTGAGGCGGACGCTCTCCTGACTGAGCCAACACTCCGGTTGAGCATCCCATTTGGCTTTTCATATACAAGTCGTTCGTAAAGTCATGCGTAACTTTACAAACAGCTTTATGAAACACCCCCCAGTACTTGATTGTTTTTCAGGTGATTGGTACATTTTAAGATATGATGTTAGTACGATATTAGCATGTCAATGTCGTTTAGTTTCAAAAGTGTATCAGGGGTGTTTCATAAAGCTGTGCGTAAAGTTACGCATGATTTTACAAATGACTTGAATATGAAGAGCTAAATGGGATTCTCAAATCCTTTTAATTCAATAAGCTAAAGTTGAAATATGTAAATGTAGATTAAACTTATCATTATTAACAAAACATTTTAATGAAATATGTATTTTTGGCTACCGTACAATTTAATTGAGATTATGGGAAATACAGTCACACTTTGTTGTAATGTCAGGAAAAACTTTGGGCATCCCATTTGGCTCTTCATATTCAAATGATTTGTAAAGTCATTCGTATCTTTACACACAGCTTTATGAAACACCCCCTTGTTTGCACAATTGTTTGTTAACTTGTTGTTTGCTTTTGTTGCTGGTTTTGTTTATTGTTGTTGTTCTTTCTTCATTGAACATCACAGATAGACTTGTTTTCAAATCACAATTGCTTTTTATGTTTTACCAATTGCATACAATTTGATAATATAAGATGTTATTTTTTCTTTTAATTAAAAAAAAATATGCAGATGATCCCAAATCATGAAAGGGGTAAAAACATGGTCAAAATGTGTAATATTATAGTAGTATGCTTTCTTTGTACTTAAATAAAGCCCTTGAAGAAGAAAGAAAGTAAGATTCTGTATATATGTCATCCTAATTCTTGAAATCAAACAATGTTTATATTGTACATATTGCCAGGTATTTATACAAATTTGATAGCTTTTGATTGGAAATACTTTGTTTATATATAATGTTTATTTGTGAAAATAAAATAATTGTGTGTTATTTCAAATGTAAAGAACATTTCAGATCTATTTGTACTTGATCTTTCTGCTTCCATGGAGATGTGTAGAATTCAAAACATTAAATTAATTTGTTGATAATTCAGGGAAGAAAGAAATAAGTATTGTTAAAGGAGAAGGGACATGGGATTGAGGAGAGGTGAATAAATAGATTGAAGGAGAGGGGTAAGAGAAGTGCGGGAGAAAGGAAGAGAGAGCGAAAGAGGACTGGAGAGAGAATGAGCGAGCATGAGAAGAGAGAGAGAGGTAGAAGGCATGGCAGAAACTAGTCCAGAATCTGGCCGGTTCTTTATATTCCATACACTTGATTCAAGCCGCCGAAGATGGCGTTATCAACGAAATATTACGCTCACCAGCCCAATGGCCCAATCTAAGAATTTTTCGCCGGGCGTCCTAATTTAAGGATTGCGCCATCTTCGGCTGGCAGCGTGTACATTGTATGTAGGGAGAGATCGCATTGCTTTGGTGGTAGAGATCAAAATTAACAAATCGGCCAGATTTTGGACTAGGCAGAAACATGAAAGAGGAAGGTGAATAGAAGTCTGAAGGAATTTTGCTACACTTTTGGCAACAGATGAATAATAAGATAAGGACTTAAAATGGGATCAAAACATAAATAATATCATAAAGAGAGCAAACAGTAAATTAATATGCTTAGACTATTGAAACGTCATGATCTACCCTATTCTGACTTGTTGACCATATACATGTGCTACATAAGGCCTGTCATGGAATATGCAGCCCCTGTATAGAATGGAGGCCTCACCAAAAACCAAATCACCAGGTTAGAAAGAGTCCAAAAGAGAGTTTTGAGAGTGATTATCGGTGCACGTTACTCAACTTATGACACTGTCCTAGATGAATTGAAAATCGAATCTCTCTCTGATAGAAGAATGAGTTTGTGCTTGTCGTTCTTCCAAAATACCCTACTCTGCACTGATCAATTAAAACAGTATTTCCCTCCGGAAAATATAAGTCAAGAACACTAAGACGTAAACCCCAAATTCCTGAACTTAGATGTAAAACTAAACGAAATCAATGCTAAATAGTCCAGTTCCGTATCTCATTCGTGCACTTAACCAAAGTAAACGATGAATGATCCTCCTTTTCAACAAAAAAATATATACAAAAATAAATTAATTAATTAAAAAAATGATCCTCCTTTTCTTGTATCCTTCAGACTTGGCAATTTCACAACCTTTTTGTTTGTTTTTGTTTTGCATCAGGTCTTTCGTGTTCTTTGTGCATGGCTGATCTTCAACGAAACGGAGTTAAGTCTTTTGTCAACTCTGTTCGTTGCAACGGCAAGAAGCCAGATAAAACGAACCCGTTTGATCAAATTATGGAAATGCAAGCATTATTTTATTACAAACAGAACTTTGTTATTCCTGGCTCATTTTTCCTGATTGAGGTGTCATATGAAAGGGGGGAAATTGAACTGTTTAGAAATGTAATTTTCCCTTTAAAATTCAGATATACCGCCCGCCAAATGACTCTTTGGTTTCCTCTCTTCAAATTGCTTTTAATCACTCATGCGTAAAATATGCATCATATGAGTTGCATCAAATTAAAGAGGAGGATCTAAGCTTTCCAAATTATGTTTCATTTATTAATTATAATTGTGATTAAGTTATGATAAAACACCGACGATTCTCGGTTTCGTTTTTTCTGGGACGCACTGTATATTACATTATGTGTTATTAATTTTGTTTGTAAACTATTGTAATTCGGTTAAACGCCGCGATGAAAGTTTTATTTGAAATAAACCATTTTGAATTGAATTGAATTTGCGTGCCAAGCCCCAACCCCCTACCGACTGCCCTCACACACACACATTATCACTCCTCTCTCGCCCTCTCCTTTCTCATAGTCTCTCCCCTCTCTCTCTATCTCTCTTTCTCTCTCGCTCCCCTCCAATAATACACCCTCTTCCTTTCTAATCCCACATCATTCGCTCCTTCGATGACGATTATGTTACATGGCTGTTACAAGGAAAAGTATTAGTTTCACCTCTTGTTTCCGTACAGAGAGAGGGAGAGAGAGAAAAGGAGAAAGGGGGGGGGGGGGAACCCGATGGACTTACATGCTTATAACTTATGATTATGATTGCAACAGGAAATTTCCAAGATAAAATTTGCAATCGCGTAATATAGCACGATTTATGGAAGGGAAATAATCTAGTTCATCTTCCCTTTTCCACATGAGTTTGCAATATAGAGAGAACAAGGGGGTACACATTATTAAAGAGAGCGAGAAAGGAACCCCCCCCCCCCCCCCCCAAGGAAAAAAAAAATCGTTATTTATATATTCATTTATTTGTCTATTTTGTTGGCAGGGGGGGGGGGGGGTTGTATCGAAGAGTGGGAGGGGAGATGTCTGGAGCTAGGCTTCTGGTTAAAAGAAAATTGTATACCGTCATGCATCAAGCAAAAATGAATTATACTCAGTAAAACACGACGTCATTACAAAACAGAGAGTGATACAAGAAAGAAAAGCCAGGCAGGTTTCATGATGTGTGTTTTCCAATAAATCTGTTATTTCTTTACTTTTTTGGTAATGAAATCACATTTAGAAGGCAATAACAAAACTGACAAAAGATATTCATTATTGATTAATAAAACAATAACCATACTGTTGAGCTGAGAATTGATTAAAAAATCAATAACGATGGTGTTGACGAGTATAGTGATTGCAATGAATAACATAATGAAATTAGTTGTAATCGAATAAAACTATAGGCCTATGTATTTTCCTTAAAAAACAATTATTATGAGAATCAGGAATTAAAACTTTCCCTTAATCTTACAGATATTTCGGCAACATAACACACATTCTGTGTGAAGTGTGAAAGTCTTAACACACACATGTACACACGAAATAAAAATGTTTTTTATATCCCTTTCCAATAGGCTGTGTCCTAAATGCTAAATTTTTATTATGTCCATTAAATGATGATAATATATAGATATGTCCATCTGACGTTGTACATGTATTTCATATATCTGCTCGTCCATGGCAGTCACGCAGTTTCCCCTATCACAGCTTCATTGTAACTATTACTAAGCCAGACAACCATTATTGGAGGACAATCAATTATCCTCTTTTAACGAGACAAATTCGGCATAAGTGAGCACGGATATATAAAGCCATGCTACTCGTTCGACAACGCATAGACCTAGACAAAATAAAATCTATACAGAGTCTCACACATTTCACTTTAATTTATTAAATAAAATAATACTAATTATGGTGAAAAGACTATTAATAATAGTAATGAATCCCTAAGGTATGATAAAACATTGTGCCCATTGTAACTTCTAAGATGCGGTGCCTTTATAGTTTTTCGGACGCTATTTTGGTGATTGGTGGATTTTAATGACATGTATGTGCGCATGCGTAGAGTTATGTATAGGCAGCGCCTTTCATGCCTATATAAGCAGGCACCAGAAATAAACATGTATTTGAAATGCTTAAGATAAGTGAAAAACACTTTAAAGAGGAAAAAACCCTCTCACGCAAAAACCAGCTTCGCGATAGAGTGCATATGACGCTAATTAATAAGTGAGCTATTTAAAATACATTCATATATAATACATGTGAGCAAACATGTCAACTTTATTATACGTTTACAATACAGAACAATAAACAGTTCGCAATACATCTCTATTCGTCGGTACTCATTACAACTACCGGTAAATCTCAATAAATAGGCCTAACGCCACCATCCTCTCTTGAAAGATCAAACTTGAGTTAATATTCAACAAGTGAAAATAATCTAGTAAACGATTGTGCAGAAAATGACTAAATTGATTTTCTTACAGTTACTATTTTTTGCGTACGTGATTCGTGTGCGAGACACTGCATATTATATTTTCTGATTATACGATCAATTTATGATTTACAGAAAATAAGTGGATTTGTAAAAGTGACGAGTACGTGAAGGAAGTAAAGAAAGTGTAACGGAAACCTCAGTCACACCGACAAGACCGATATCACGCCGACAACACAACGTCCAAAGGGAGAGTTTGGCCAACAATACGGTGAATACTGCTTTAAAGAAATGTTATACGCCATGTGGTGAGATTGTGGCACCAATTTTGTTGGCTAAACTCTCTGGCCCGAATTCACAAAGGAGGTTTGTCGACAAACCTTGGTTTTCGTACGTCATATGACGCGTTTTTATGCGTTTTTTACAAACCTGGTTTGTAAAGAACTAAAGGAGGTTTGGCGAAACAAAAGGAGGTTTGTCGACAAACCTCCTTTGTGAATTCGGGCCTTTAAGTATGGACTGCTCTGCCCCTATATGCATGCATAGCTGGTTGAGAGAAATAGCTACGGTACTGGTAATGGTTACTGATTGGTCAATCTTGTTTGGTGCCCTAAATAGATATATCCCTCCCATGGAGATTGCACTTGGGAGGGAGCTATTAAAGGGGCTGTAGCTTGGCAAATACTGGTTTACTGCACGTAAACGAATGGACTTGATACACTGGGTGAGCGCGCGCTAGCGTTCGCAAAACAGACCGAAGTTCTCATCACGCTTCGGTTTCGCGTATGTTGCACGCACGTGTTTACGCACGTAGGCCTACTGCGGTCACGTCGTCCGTAGTCGTATTATACCCGATTGGCTCGAGTCAGGCCATATGGGAAAGACCCATTTTCTCGTCATGCTACAGCCACTTTAAGAGTTCCATGATTTAATCTAAAAGACCGCGCTCATGCAAGCACATTACGCGCGGATCGCAAGCCGCTTTTTCTTGATCTCGATGCGAGGAGTCGCTCCTTTAAGTTCTCGCAAAATTTGAAATATTGCAAGTCTGTTGTTAGCCTTCTCGAACACTGTCCAAAAACTTGCCGCATATTGATCCATGACTCAATACATCCATCGTTCATCTCAGCATGAACTGTTTATCAACGACTATAACGTATTTGTTCTTGATCGATATAGATGCCTGTCCGTAAAATTCTTGATGGTTTGTCGCAGCTGCAACCTGGAGGTAATCTTCCGCACCTTGGCCCGCTTCTCCGCCCGGTAGAACTCCCGATAGAGATCGTGGAATGCGTCGACGATGGGCACATACCCTTCGCTCGCGCTCATTTCGCAGTACGTGCTCCCATAATCCTTTGCCAGTTGTGCGCCCTCTTGCTTTGTGATCTTGCGAAGGTGGCAGAGGTCGGCCTTGTTTCCGAGGATCAAGGTGGGGACCTTGTCGAGGTCACGACGGGATTTAAAGATGAACCGTTTTAGTTTATGGAGGTAGATGAAGCTGGATCTATCGGTGACCGAAAATACGAGCACGAAGGCATCTGTACTACGCATCTGCTCCACCCGAGTCTGGCTTTCGAAATCCTGAAAATATAGAAACAGAGGGGAAAGTTCGAAACCAATTAATCTCCTTGGACGTCCTTAGTCGGCTAAGTCATGTGACGCATCTCAACCCATTGATATAGGCCTAATGTACATATTGCAATTAAACATACGTACTGCTTCAACATATATATATATATATATATATATATATATATATATATATATATATAGATATATACCTCTTTCTAGAGGCGACATGCTTCATCAAACTTTTATTGATCCATACCTCCAATTAAGATGAAGGGAAATTAATTACATGTAAGTTTACTGATGAGAATTCTGCCCTTATTAAATATATGCCACACGTCATCAACTATAATGGGACAAAGAAAGAATGCCAAATGTTTGTGTGGTCCTATTTTATCTTTGTCAAGTTTTTTGTAGTCGTTTGTGATTTTCAGCAAGATTTCAAAGATTTGAAATGATAAAAAAGCGCAATACTTGTTTCAGCCACGAAATCACGTATCATATTAACTTTAATGTAGACATATTCATTACACGAGGCATTTGTATGATTATAGACTATATAGTGCTCGATCAAAATCATTTTATGGCAAAGGCTAGAATTCAGTGTCGTCTTTTTTGCCAGCCTGATTGTCTAAATGCCATAAAAGTGATGCAGTCACTGCGAAGCTTTTCACATGTACTTACGAAGTCACCAGCCGTATCCAACACGTGAAGTGTTATACTTTGATCATCTATCCTCGTAGGTTGGGAGTACACTGATTCTGCGAATATAAAAAAAGAGAGAAAAGATAGATAACCAACCGACATATATAGTTGTTACTAAACGAATGTCTTTACTAGATAATATGCCCTTATTATAATCCTGACAATGGGAATATATTAATAGTAGCAATAACAAGGAAGGAAACAAACAAACAACTTTTCAACTCGGGCATCATAAACACGCTACCATCTCTTAGGTGGAGTATACCCTTTTACGTGATGACATGATATAAAGCAGAAAAGATAACACTAGAAATACAGAGAGTCACAAAGTCATATGGTGAGATAAAGTGTTTCCCATGAAAGTTGGGATGATTATCATGAAATGAGTGTGGTATCTGGGGGTAACTGGCAATAATGGTTTATTATTGAAGGAAATTTATTAGAACTTATTTGATTAAGAACTATGATTCTTTAGATTCGGGAGAGTCAGGAGTGTCAAGTGTGACGGATATGAGCGCTATACAAGAACCCATTAGTATTATTATCAATTATTTATCAATCAATAATAAATTATATTCTCAAAATCACTTTAGAAAAAAAGCAGGAACACAAATCTAACTTCATGAGCAGTGTTTCAATTATTGGTGGGTTCATTTTCTCATCAAGTAAATTCCATTATTATCATTTGCTTCGATTGAATATTAACATCATTTATATTATTCTAATACCAGTTTTAAATCATGACAAAACTGAAACAGACACATTTAATTTAGGGAGATATGATCACATATGCACGCTTGCGCGCTGGCATGGCGCTCCAAAAGTGTGCATTGTGCGAGCCCCAACATCTTTTCACGTCGTAAACCACTCATCTACACTCCGCCCGCTGCCGTTGAAGTCGATAGACGAGTACGGTGTTCAAGTTAGAATCGATGATTCGTATATTATGTAGACAGCTTTTACCAGACTCAAGTTTCTGAAACCTGACGGTTGAGAGTAAATACGATCTAGGGTAGATATGGACATGTAGCAACACCATTGCGATATATCGTAACGCTTTTTCCGATCTAACGAAATACATTTTTAGATATAACAGAAGACCAATGTTAAGTGATGAATACATGAATGAAGCAGGGTTTCAGTAATGTTTGTTACGAATGAATATCATTTTCTAAGAGGTACAGGGCCCTTTCTTACTATATATGGTGTATTAACTGTATCATTTTAACAAAAAGGGTGTTCTAATTTTTCCATTATACATCATTCTGTACATTCCTGTGCAGTTCTAATAGCCACTTATTAAAGGTAAAGACCAGTAATGGTCATGCGATTGCATTGTGAAAGAAACGTTGTGGAATCGATCAGAAAAGGTTGATCATCTAGCATCTAGCATCTGCAAGGTTCTGGAATCATCAAAATGATAAGAAATTTGGCCCATTCTTCGTAAAGTTACAAGCACTATACACAGAAAGATGTATATGGGACTACCCTATCTCTCTCACCAGACCATGAGAGAAATAAGTTTACCAAATATATGAATTAGTAGGCGGTTTCCCGGCAAATTTTTTATCTTCATGTATTAGTTAAAACATATTCTTTCACATGATTGGTAATGAGAGCTTCCATTTCATTTTTTGAAATTGGGGCGTTGCCAATACTGGTCTTTACCTTTAAAGGTGAAGTCCAACCTGGGATTATGTTGGCGATTTGAGAGAAAAAGATGAGCGTATATTTTGAGAAAATTCGATAAAGAAAGGCAAAATAATTTCTAAAGCTGTTATCAATCAAACGCAAATTTCATGGCGTATCACTCGAGTACCTCTCCCACTTGCTCTGTACGCAAATATTCCAGGTTATTTGTTTCAATGTTAATAGGTAAAATGAATCATGTAAATTAATGTTATTGACATAATATAATCTAAGAAAATATCAATATATTTGTTGTTGTAATAGTAGATTAAATTTATCTGTAAAAGAGTTGCAAGTTTGTGGTTGATCGATTACAAGTTTTACAAAACCAAAACCGTCTAACCATTTCTTTTTCTCTGATTTCCCATAGCTTTTCACTGATCTATCGCTCTCATTTTCCCGCTTTAATCAAAGCGGACTTATATGGGCGTTAATATTCCCTTAAATGACATTACTAGAGAACTCGACGCCTCTCCCAAACAAGCATTCAGACTAATTAGCATTAAAATATAGACAAGCCATCCTCTTAACCGTCCTCAGCATTTTTTATGTTCAGGAGAGGTTTCTTTTACAAAGAAGTAATGAAATGAGCCTTCAGCCCGAAATAGGCCAAGACTGTTTTACAAGAGACCTAGTTCGATATAGAATACAAAGAAAAGTAGATTTTGCACAGGATTAAAATAGGAGCTTACGGGGAAAAGGGTAGTTGGAAAACTAGGGACAAGACATTACAAAACAAATACATATTAATGAAGAAACAAAAATAATGAAGGTTTGAAGAAAGAAACCCACCAAGCGTAATGAAGGATGAAATGAAAGACGTTCGGAAATCATACATTTAATTTTCTCTGGTCATCGTGACAAAAATATGATATTTATTCAATTCACGTGAAGATGTAGTACGAATTAAACGGATAAAATTTTCTCCGAATATCTCATGGCAGTAAATTAAATATTTGGTTATATGCAACGGGTTCTGAAGACAACATAATAATGCTGATTTGAAGAAAGAAACCCACCAAGCGTAATGAAGGACGAATGAAAGACGTTCGGACATCATACATTTAATTTTCTCCAATCAGCGTAACAAAAATATGATATTCATTTAAACGTACGTGAAGATGTAGTACGAATTGACCGATTTAAACTTCTCCGAATATCTCAGGCAGTAAATTGAATATTTGGTTATATGCAACGGATTCTGAAGAATGAGATAATTGAATTTCCGCAACAGCTTGGAATATTTGTACGACTCAATTCAAAGAATTTACATAAATCAACTTGCTATGCAACCGGAGTATTCGCTTATTTGATTTTCAAAGTAAACAGACGTTGCTGTTTATATGCCGAAGATTATGAAATAGCGGTTGTAAAACATGTCTACACTATAATGAAGCATAGCGTGTGTAGAGAGATAGTTGCGATACGCGAAAGCGTGTGCAGTCTTTGGTAAGAATGCGGATGCACAATTTTCTCCATGGGCGGGAGTTGTTTGAAGCTCCAATGAAATGAGCGAACTTTCAGGAGCAACTTCCGGTGGCATAACGATCTCTCTCATCTAGCAATTAAACAAAGCCATCAGCTAGACCATTAACAAAATGTACATGTTTAGCGTCCCCGTCCGCTTCCTTTATTTTCTTCAATGACCTAAAACATGAAAAAAATGCTGCTCAAAAAATAATGATCAATTTCTGATTTTAAAAAAAATCCCGGCGGCCATCTTGACAATTAGCTCGACTGTCAGGGAAAATGTACCTAGCGGCCATTTTGAAGGGGGGGGGGGAAAGGGGGGGGGGCCTCCTCCTCCCTATTTTTCAAAAAGGCAGGACGCTAAACATGTTTTTTTTTTTTTTTTAGCCTTATATGGCGAATGCTGCTTTGTTTGGCAAATACAAAACCAAACAATATGATTTATGCGCCCCAGTGCGTCCAATTGAAAACGAAGTTGGCCAAACTCTGGTTTACAATGTTGCCCATAAAGTTGATAATATTTCTCTCCTCTTTTTCGGAAATGGTTGTCATAATATGATTTACTCCTGAGAGATAACGTTCATATCTTCCCGGAACCTAATTGATCAATCTCTATGACTCATTAGATTGATTAATATAGTTCTGAGAAGACATCAACCTTATCCATCAAGAATAAACAAAGTCTCACAATCACTTTATAAAATGAGATAAACGACATCATTCCAACTTTATGGGCTGCAGAGGAGATACCTCTAATGCTACAAATGTAATAACGCCCTCATACATCCTGTTTCTATCCATGACCAAGAAAGTGTGCGCGTGTGTAAGGGTATGTTAATGCTCAACTTTTTCTGGCCAGAATGAGGCTTTTGTTACGTGTTTAGTTCAAAACACGGTTGCGTCCTTTCTCATTTGTGTAGAATCACCGAAAAACGGCGATCATAATCGCCGATCGTAAACTCACAAAAAGATGCATTTTGGATCTGCGATTCTGGGGAAGCATAAACGCACAATCATTTGTCAACGTAGCATTCGCAGTGCAGGTTTGCGAATCCAGCTGCAGAGCCAGAATCATGCTTGGAGGAGCCAGAGAAGTGAGCATACACAGTACACCGTGGAACTACGAATACGATGAGCGTTTACGATGAGCGTTTACGATGAGCGTTTCAAATCGCTCATTCTGCCTTCAAAATTAAGCATAAACGCACCCTAAGAAGGAGGAGCGTGAGTGAGGAAAAGAGAGTGAGTTTGTGTATGCATTTGCAATTACGAGTCATCACATAGACTCAGTAAATCAATTCTGAGTAAACAGGACCTGACAGCACGGAGTAGCGGAGTTGGGAAGATGGTAAACAACTTTGTATGATTGAGGACAGGGTACTTGTTCCAAGTAAACCCTCTTGAGGATGATGGGAGAAACGATTCGTGTCAATCAGAGGGAATAACAAGGCGCTGTTCTAGAAAGTAAAATAACAGGGAAGGTGGGAGGGGAGGGGGGGGGGGGGGTGATTATCTCCTTTAACAGTTTTGTTCGAAATATGATACACACAATAGCCTTCCCCGTGCCTTGACCAATCACAGAGCAACATAACAGAATTATTCATCACGCGTTTGCATTTTCGTTCCTGATTTTTAAAAAATTACAATTATTTTAGAGGCACACTTTTTTTGTGTGTATTCTTTTGCTTTCTTTTGTTAGTATCAACAAGACGCATTATAACATGATGACAAGTTTCCATTAAAAAAAAACGAGTTTGAAAGCGGAATTTTTTTCTCTCTCTTTCACTCTTTTCTTGTTGTTTTTTTTGGCTAATGAAGGACCAAACATGTTTCCGAAAATCTCGTCAATTGTCATGATGCCATTCCATGGATTCCGCAATTCCTTATTCTCAAAACT